AGAGGCTCTCTGTTTATCGCATGGACGAGGTATATCGCCAGAAACTGCTCGTGCTGGTATGGCGGTGCGTTCATAACCGTGCCAGTCCTGCTCTGCAGGTACTGTTTGTTCGCAACTGCGGAGCAACTCGCCTTCAGCGCAGTCTGGGCCTGCAACAACCAATAGCCAGAAGCCGAGCAGGCCAATGCCGACCGGCATCTCGCGATTGCCTGTTATGGAACCATATACCTGACACGGTGCGAGCCATGGGCAACACCCCAGCATTCCGCCGAGCTGCCATTCCCTACACGTTGTAGACTGCTACACAGTTGGTCATACCATGGTATTCAGTACCCACGAAATTTGCAAAGCCGATAATATGATAATGTACCGTGGTGCATGCATCGATGGTACCACCACTTCGTAGACTGCCTCCCGTTCATTTCTGTGCTCCTGTCTTTATTCTCGTCAACTGTGTACATCAGCAGTTCAATTATGTGCTCCAGTCCTCTTTATTCTCGTGAGCTGTGTACTAGTTTTGCTGTTTGTTTGGTTTATTTGAATTCGCTCAGTAACCGTGTACTTCAGCTATTCTCTCCTCCCTCTTCTGAATTTGACTCTCCGCTGGCCTTCTCTCCTCCCATCCCCTTACATTGTATTGGGCCTCCGCAGCTTCCCCCCCCCCTCCCCCCACCACCACCACCCCACCCACACACTACATTGTCACATAGCACAACTCAACCATTCGCTACCCTGTTATTGAGCACTCCTGCTCGTTTGGTCTCGCCAATCCAAATAAAATCAATCAATCAAACGAGGCAGTGGTGTTGCGCAGCTCGTTGTGGCACATGGCTGGGTATCTTCCGGTGGAGCAGCTCAGGGCATGCGATACGTCGAATCTCTTGCCGCATGCGCACGTGGATGGCAGTCTTGCGGAAGTCCAGCCGTAACGAAGGGCAAGCGCATCACGGAAGGCACCCTTGTGCAGTGTGAAGCCGTGTCGCTGTAATGGTGGGCATGTAAGCCAGCTGGATGCTCCTTTCTCAGAGGCGAGCTCCAGGGCACGGCGGTCGGCAGCATTGCAGTCGGCAAGGAAGGAAGCTACTTCTTTTTTTTCCCGCTGCCGAGCTGAAGATCTAACAACAGCGCTCTTAGCTTGCTTGGTGAGGCCGGAGATGCCCTCCATGGTGTGCTGCTGGAGGAGGATGCGCTCAACCAGGGCCTTGGTACATGGTGATGCTGACGGAGTTTGCGAATTGTTGCGACAGCGAGGCGGGGACAATCAAGCCCAGCCCTCCATGACAACACAGGAGTGCGAGGATGGAAAGCTCTTGCTGACCAGGCGCCATGCGGTCGGTGAGGGCCGGAAGTAGGTGCTCGCTGATGCATGCTTCGAGTCGGGAAAGGCTATCCGCAGTGTCGGGCACGGTTCGGGCTAGGAACGACCATTTGTGGCGCAGCCTACGGTCCATGCCTGAAGGCCGCATACGCTGCCTGTGGCTGCGTCATGGCAAATCATTGGCTAGGGTCTGGACTTCCTGGCACCACTGGGCCACTTTGTCAGCTGTGTATGCTTGGCAGAAGGCAGGAGTGCCTAATGCTGCACCAAGGTGTCGGTGGCCGTCCGTCTTCACTATGATGTCGGTGTCGCCAAAGAGCTCCTGGACCTGCGTAGCGTGATCCGGCTTCACTAGGAGAACGGTTTTCCCAGCGTTCGGAAAGTACCCAAACGAAGGGCCATGGAGTGAGAGGGCTGATCACCACGCTCTCAGCTTGGCGAGCTTCCCAACGGCTGCATGTCGAATCGTCGGCAAACCTCGCCTGGATTGTGCCTGGGGTTGCGACCTGGATCAATGGGACTGTGCCAAGAGCATACATAGCCATAGCTAGACGGTCCGCTTGGGTCGTACCTTCGCACGAGGGGATTGATTCACCATCCACGAACAGGCGTGATGATGACCGGCCGGTAGGTGTTGATAGCAATGATGGCAACCTCGGGACAGATTTGAATTATAGTTAGACCGCATTGTCATGTTATCAACTGGTCTCTTCATCGTCCTGTAACAGTCGGCATTCTTTGTTGCCATGGGACTTAGTTTGTGCACATTTCCGCTGCGCTCACCGTCTTCCCCTCCTTGGTCCTACTCAACCTTGAACCTTCCAAGTTTGAAGGCTGTTGGTTTGAACACTGGAGATGTGTTAGAGCTAGGTCTTAGGACGTTGAATGTCTCAGTAGCCTGTCAGTTTTGTGCCCTGTTATCGCACGTTCTGACTGCTTATTATCTTGTTACAGCCGTGGATAGTTGCTTCATAACTCATTACCATGTCTTTTCTTATTCCATTTTACAATACTGGCTCATTATCCGAGTGTATGTACTGTAATTATTAATTTTGCAGTAGTTCAGTTGAAGCTAGTTCAGTCATTTAACAATTATTATTCCCCAAATGGCTTTTTGAGTGTCCAGGGATCTCATGACGTCCAAACTGGAGCACACGTGTGGCTCAGAGACTCTTCGAATTGTCCTAAACCAGAGGCTTCGCACCTTACCTGGGCTAGCTCATCGCCCAGCTCAAGACAAAAGCATTGAGACACAATTGTCACATATTCTCGACAGGTCACTCATCCCCAATGCCTAATGCATAACCGTCCAACATTGTGAGCATTACATACAGTGCAAACAGACAACAGTAATAATTACTGTTGTCTGTAACAGTGTTACTTACACAGTTATAGTTATTATTATTATAAGCACGTCCGCGTAGTGGGCGGGTTTGCCCACCTCGCTTCTGCCAAATTGTGCCACGTATCCGTACAAAAATGAGAGAGGGGAGAACAAAACAAAAACACAAAAGAGCAAAAACAAACAAGAAAAACCAGGAAAGTAACGATGAAGAACAAAAATGAAGGAACAGAACAGACCAAACACGAGTAATACATGTACCGCGTACCGGTAGAACAGAAGGGTGGCAGAAGACTACATCATGCAGCATCCACGAACGAGGACAATCGACCGAGGGACATGATAAAGGGAAAAAAGAGAGGATGTGGACCGGGGACGGGGGAAACAGAGAAAGAGAAAGAGAGAGATACGATGAACAAAATGCAAAATTTGGAAAGAACTAACGCGACAAACGAAAGCGACAGGACGTGGCGTGCTGACCTGGCGAGGACAGTTACTTTTAAGACAAACAGCCTTGCTGGATGTGCACATAAAACATAATTTGCGGGGACAGGATCTAGGATTGCGTTGATTTACTGGTATAATACTTCATTATGTGAGGATAAGACCGAGTAGAGGCTGAAATCGCTTACTTGTACAAAAACATCTCCAGGCTACTTGTTTTTAGGCATGAATCAAACAAACGCTCATGGCGTAGCTGAGTCCTGATCGTTTGCATACATGCATGGTCAGGGCTATACGTACAGTCACACCTCTTTAGGACGAACACCAAGGAACCGCTGATATTTGTTCGCAATAACGGGAGTTCTAATAACGGGAGTTCTTCTTATCCGTATGTTATACGGAGCAAACATTGAATTTTTTCTTATCAGTGTTCTTCCTAACGAGGTTTCACTACTGACAGTACTGTACATGAAGACACCGCCTATGCCGTTCTAATTGTCCCTACCTCCGACTCTCCCATAGGTTCTTCTGACACCCGCCCTGGAACACGCCACCTCGGCCTGGTCCTATGCCATCACCAAAGCTGAGCTGGAGCGTTTCAATATTTTACAAGCCAGAGTAGCTAGGAAGTATTTGCTACATAAGAAAGTCAATGTAGATAGATGCGAAGCGAAGTCCCAGTTAAACGCCCTTTGTGACTTAGAGTCCTTGTACTTTCGCAGACAAGTATCAGCTCTTGTTACTCTATTTAAACACGTCCATATATCTCCAGAACACCTCCAACATTTTCACCTTTCACTGTCTTCAAGTCCAAGAAGACCAAACAAACTTAACATTAATTATCAGTAGGGGTGAAAGTTGGCATTGAGATCCCGAGTTCGAGTACTCTGATTTTCTCCGATCGAATATTCGAGTATTCGAGTATTCTTCATCTCCTATAAATTGCACACCGAGGGCCTTAAATCACATGATACAATCCTGCTTGAACCGAGTGGCTGCCATTTTTCTCTGGTATAGTGGTTGCTGGGTCATTTGGGCTCTCTCTACTCGTGAACAAATGTTCACCACACAGTCTGCACATCAATATCTGCCGACTGCTGCTCTGAAACTGCAGATTTATGTGGTAAATGCATGTACCACGTATGAACGAGTACTCTGATTTATTCCGAGTACGATTATTTCTGAAAAAACCGAGCGAGTACTCGAGTATTCGGTATAATTGTTTCACCCCTAATTATCAGTATCATTTATCACCGTGTGCGTGTTTCTTCCCTCCTTTCCAACAAAGCTGCAATGCTATGGAATTGCCTACCGCCTTCTCTTACCTCTATAACCAGCCTCCCCGAAGTCAAACATTCTCTCTATCAGCATTTTCGCCAGTATATTCATTACACTGACGGTATCCCAACTCCTTAATTACCAGATTTTGTATGCCTCGATCTATTTCCTTAGCCTATCCTCGATTAAATTAACTGCTCCCTCTACATAAAGTTGTCATTTCATTCTTCTTGCAGGAGATCCCCTCGACAGGCCCAAAGCCTTTGGGAAATCCTTAAATATAATAAAATACAAAATACAAATACTGTGCTTGAATTCCGATTTTGCTTATGTGAACCAACCCAATAAAGTACCGGATAGTTAGTTTGACGCCCAATACAGCTACATCAAGGAGTTTTAGGTTGCCTAACTAAGTAAGGAATATGTACATGACTCGTGCCACAACGAATTGGCTGGAGGAGCTAACACATCACCATCATGCGAATCGACAAACCATGCATGTATGGCGCTTTTCATGGATAGCAAGAATGAGAGCGTTCAATCGACATCCGCCTCATGGAACACAATGAATGCAGAAGAACTCTCACCAGACCCTTTACAAGATGTTAGGTTGCGATTCCAGCTATAAAAGGACAGTGAGTTTTGTGATGAATTTTTTATTAATGAAGTGACAGAGGAACATAGAAAACAACTGAAAATTTGAATGCGAAGAGGGTGAATGTCTTGGATATAAATGGGAATCGATCGAGTACAAGCCATGAAAAATGAAAATATGAAAAGGACAGTGAGATTTGTGATGAATTTTTTAATTAATGAAGTGACAGAGGAACATAGAAAACAACTGAAAATTTGAATGCGAAGAGGGTGAATGTCGTGGATAGAAATGGGAATCGATCGAGTACGGTACCCATGAAAAACGAAAATATGAAAAGGACAGGAGTTTTGTGATGAATTTCTTATCAATGAAGTGACAGAGGAACATAGAAAACACTTGAATATTTGAATGCGAAGAGGGTGAATGTCGTGGATAGAAATGGGAATCGATCGAGTACAAGCCATGAAAAATGAAAATATGATGCGACATTTTTTAAAAGATATTGTTGCCAACGCAGCTTGAAATTATGCACGGCAAGCGCAAGCTATGAATGAATGGCTTCGACCGCGTCATGATCGACTTGCTTGCACGACTGGGATAGGATATGAGAAATGCCTGTCCAGAGGTGGTTCAATGAGGAAGAAATATTAATTGGAAGGATCCTAAAACTTTTAAAAATATGTGCTGGAGAATTGTTGCTGCTAAGGAAATGAAGGCTTGCTAGCTTTTTTTCTGGTTTAATTGTTTAAAGATTTATTCAGAGGAGTCGTACACGTAAAAATGCACCGAGAGGGCATTGCCATACTACATGTACATGCACAATATCAGCATCACGGTGATATCCGAAATGGCATGCGAAATTAGGGATAGGCATGGGCAAGGTGCATTATGCATAGGGTGGCCTGTTGAAGCCCAAGCTGCAGGCAATGAAAATGTAACATTATGAAGGCAAGGTGCCACACCAAAAATGCAGATTGAGAGCAAAAAATGGAATACAATACAAAGAAGATTTTGAAAAGCAGATTGAAAACACTTAAATTGCGAACAAAGAAGATCGAAAACAACGAAAATTGAAAATAGAGAACGATAAAATCAAAACAAAAAAAGGATAGAGAATCCAAGCTTAGAATGCATCATGTTGTCCAGTAACATTACTTGGTGGGGAGACTGTGTTTAGCTTGTACTGCGATTGTATTGCTGTTAGCAGTTGAACCGCGGCTGCAGGGTCAGATTGAGTCAAGAAGCTCAATGATGGCTTTGAAATTCGGACGGTTGGAAGAGATGCTGTCCCTGGTTTGATATGAAAAACAGATGAAACCAAGAAAGAAGGCTCAAGTCTTCACCAGAGATTTACAGATGCCCTATTGTGTCAGCTGTATAGTGATCATAATTGATCCTAAATCGTGTTTACATGACATTAGAATTAAAATTGGCAAGTTCAAAAACCATTCACCATCAATCTCATTCACCATCAATCTTCTATGCTGAGGAGTTTTCAAGGAGCAAGATGACTGTTCAGAATATCAACATCACATTTGAGTATACAAGTCGTGTACATTGTACATGGTAGGACAGGAATGTGTTGGGTGTACATTGTACAAAGAGAAAAGCAGTTTTAGTATACCCAGGTGCGGAATTTCTGAATTATGTAAATAGAAAAAAGACATATCCTGGGCAAGAAGTTCAGGATAGACTGAATCAACAATGTTTGCATCAGGAGACAAGACCATTTCAACGTGACGTAAGGCTTACCAGCATTGCTCCTGCAGCATGTGGAGTGCGTCCGGGCAAAGCGTGGGCTGCTGTGGACGATAAATCACCTTGCTCTGTCCCAATATCTACACCACACATCGACAAATTCATCAAGATTTGAAGGAAGGAGCTCATAATGGTTTGTTCAACTCTTTTACCGTTACCATCTTTGGCATACTAGTAGTTGAATCGTAATCGAGAACATCATTACGCAGTTCTCGAAAGGTTGAGGGAGATGAAAGTGGAAATGTCAGAAGCAAAATCATTATGCATCATCACTGTTTTATTAATTTTCAATAATTATGGATAATAAAACTACACTATTGTCAACAGTGAAGAGTAGTATGCTGGGATACGGATCATGCAACAGGTCAGCGGTAGATCACCACGGGTCTACAATGTATGCGGAAGATCCCTGCCTCGCGTGTTGATAGTGGATGCCAAACTTGAAACTCGCTCAAAGTCATAAGGAATACACCCGTTAAATTCTGCGCTCATAAAAGCACAGAAGAGTACTCTCATTTAGTTGGTAGAACTTTCATAAATGGCCCTATTGTGATACTGAACGCTATTTGCTTCACTGCTCTTCCCATAACTGAAAGCAATTTTAGTTTCCCATGGGCCCATGCTGACCTTTCCCGACATCATGTCCTCCTTTGGCTGAGCTCCGAATGTGAACACCTCCGTGATGACAAAGGCGAAGCTCCACACGTCGCTGGCCGTAGTGAAATCGTTCTTGTCCAGAGCCTGCCACAGTACAGGCCATATGGCATACAGAATAGTACAGAGATCGGTACAGTGCTTTCCTCGGGTGTGCAGACTCCACTGCAGCCGCTTTATGTTTCACACAATTATACACCACTACCCAAAAAACGGTCTCTCGGCTGCACGTTTTTCCAAGAAAATTCAATTTGTCTGGGTGGGCCCGGCTCATCTTCGGTAAAGTACAAGTGACATAATTATGTCTGTACCTAGGCCTCAGACACTGAACGTAGCCCAGAAATCAAGTTTCCAATATGACATTTTCAACTGACATGCCAGGTTTCACTCCTTCCAACCAGGCAAATACTTTGAATAAAAAAATCCAGTCTAGGCCTGTAATAATCTCTGACCCCAGCATGCATAGACGATTGGTCGTGCGTGAGATTTTCTTCCCATAAAGGTTGAATTAAAAAAACATTCATAGTGGCATGATTCTTGTTGTCATCTTCAAGCGGCATGCTCTAGGCTTGAGATGATTAGTCTCCTACAAATCACACCGGGCGGATAATTCCGGTAGGAAAACTGGCAGAATTTGGCACATTTTCTGCTGTGTTTCATGCATGTTTGGTATGTGGATAAAGAAGTGGAGCAGACTTGAAGGAGGTGCCATAAGGTGGGTTTTGTTCTGCTAATCTCACTGCTTTTTGAGCAAAATCTGCCAATGTTTCAAGTATTTTCCAAGGGATACCTACAAAGAGTTGTCTTCCAGGGCAGAGATCGTTTAAACAGGCTACGTGCATGCTGCAAGTCATACCTCTGGCGCGGTGAAAGCCATCTGAGCAACAACCTCCTTGTTCACGTATTCACCAAGGTCTTGATCCACAATGTCGAAGCCACCAATCTGTAAATACGACGAACAAGGTAATAATCAGAAACCAGAAATTGGTGCCAGACGGACTAAATGTACCATGGCGATCGAATTCAACTATCAACACTTAGACAGGCTTGGAAACTCATCATTGGTTAAGACAGACGTGTATGGAGCAACGCAAACTATAACTTCAAAGTATATAATAAGCGAAGACATCAAAAACTCTATTTCGCATGACTCTAAGCACATTTCGAACAAACGTTAACAGTGTGATTGTATGCAAGCAGGCGCATACATGCACATTAGTTAACGTGCATATACATGTAATGCACCACGGGGTTATTGATATTTTTTCTGCAAATTCCACTTATCTCCAGATACTGGGGTGAATAATGGAGTGTGGTGATGGGGCCTATTGAGCTCGGTACACTAGTACTTGCCTTGCACGTCTGGTTTGCACTCAGATACACGACTGCGCTTGAGAGATTCTAAACGCGTGATATTAGACAAAAAAACAAAAAAAGTTAAAAACAGAAGGAGCTATTATAAGCCGTTTCAGACACCTCACGAGAATCAAGTGAAATAGCCAGGTGTGAAGGGTTTCAATGTCATTTTTGGTTTACTTGAAAAGCATGTTACCCCTAGGTAAGGTGACAGAGCAAAAAGAGCAAGCCTGCAGTGGACATTCAAGGAGGAATTCAAACACGTCAAAAACCAGAACTCCTTCCATGGGCTTTTGGTTCCAAAGTCTCTAGATACGCTCAATTGTCATTGTATTATACATTCACAGTTTCACACCCATTTTAGTACCTTATGGACGTGGTTGAGCTCTGAGATGTGCTGCATTCCGGCAGCAATGTCCTTGATGAACATCATGAACTGAGTAGTGCAGGAGCTAGAAAGAAAACAAGGCATGTAGAATTGCATTCACCGATCGTTCATCTATTCAAAACCTTTCAATCAATAAGCTTGCTTTCCCATTCTCAAGCAACCCTCAGGGTGCGTATGGAATGATGGTGTACTAGCTGTGCTAGTACTTGTTAGCAACAATCCGAACTAGCGCACACACTGCACTGCATTGCTTTGTACTGCATTCAAGACTGACGTCATGCGCTTTGTTTTGCTGCGTAATTTAGAAAAGCGATCCTGTCAGCTTTTCTATTATTGTGTTCACATGGCGCTACCTAACGACACCGCTATTCAGACACGTTGTCTACGTAGCTACGTAAGTTTCTACGTAAGATGCTCGGTACCTGGTCCTGCAGGGAGGCCGGAGCTACTCCATGGCTCCTACCATCGCGCGGCCGGATGGCCGCATGCGTGTGCATTGCAGACTTTTTGTTGTTGCCTTTTCGGATGTGCATGCACGAGGAACTTCCTTCTTTGGAACTGCTTCTTGCATGAGCTGTTTCGGATATTTCGTCTCCTGGCCTGGCTTATTTCGTTTCGGTGCTGCTGAGACCTCCTTTCGCGGAATATTACTCAATGACAGGTGAGTTGACCAGTTCCCTTTGATTCATTTGCTTGTGTTGACTCTTTCATTTACGAAAAGTGTGCTGATTTTGGGCGGAATGCAATAAATAATGGAAAAGCTGACAGGATCTCCTTTCTAAATTTAGCTTTTCCGCTGCCGAGGCCTCCTTTTACGGAATACTCAATGACAGGCGATCTCTGAGTTGACCAGTTTCCTTCGATTCATTTGCTTATGCTCACCCTTTCATTTACGGAAACGTGTGCTGATTTTATTCGGATTTAGATCCATTTTTATCTCTTTGCCCTTGCCTACAGTGTGCGAAGAACGCGAGTTCCCCTTCTCGACGGTAAGGCTTATGTTAGATGTGTTGTCAAAATACTCATATTCATTGCACATTAGTACGTTACAAGTAAGGCACTGGTCAGTGGCATACTATCGTTGGCAGTTCCCAATCTGGAGGGAAAGGTTCAAGGACTCATTGACCGAGTTTGCCAAATAAATTCGCATATCAGGGAAAATCTCCATTGTGGAGAGGTTCAGTAACTTGTTTGCTTCATACGAAACAAGCCAATGGGTGCAGTGTCGTCTCGTGAAAATCTCGTACTTGTATGATTGCATTTGTTTACTCGAGTCTGGGCTGTTTGAGTGAGTACTGCCGAGATTGCACTGCCCCAAATAAAGTTTCGTGCCGCCAAAGCAAGAATTACGATCTGCAATCTGTTTGTAGTACCAAGAGTACATAACCCCCCGTACTCTTGGTAGTACTTGCAAGAATGTGCAGTACATGTATCGTACTTTCTCTGTTGCTGTTTCAGTTGCCGTCATGTTGCTAAAGAAAGGTTCACTGGAGAGGTTCTGCAAAACAAAAATTCGAACGAAGTTTCGCGACAGTCCTTGCAAAAGTGTGTACGAATTTTTGCACGAACTTTGCGTTCTGCACATTTTCGTAGTTTGCGCGGGCCAAGTGCACGTACGCCATGACCCGATCTCACGAAATTTCCTACAACAGTTCATTTCGCGTTCCCTGCAAGTTTCGCGTCCAAAGTTGCGAAGTTTCGCACTTCATGATGTAGAGCGAAAGTTTGTACGCATTTTCGTTTTGCAGAACCTCTCTAGTGACTCTTTTGTTTCATACGAGATGAGTCGGTGTGGCTTAGAATCTTTCGCTGTAGAAGAACTCTATTCGTATGTCTATTGGAGAAATAATTGTATTCACTGGTTATACATGTATTATAAAATAGGTTAAGACAAACTCACAGAATAAATACCATCGGTCCCTTGGTGTTCGTCCTAAAGAGGTTCGACTGGATATCATTCATACTCACCAAAAGATGTGTAAGATTTTATTATCATGGAGTGCCTTGTTTATCTCTCAGTATCAGTACCTCCAACCATAGCCTTGACCCTTTTATCCTCAGGATCAGTGTAGTTGTTAGAACGAGGTGTCGGACTCAGCAATGTATTGTTTACATTTTAATACATGTTTATTGTTCCTCCTTTGCTGTGTTTTAGAAAATCGTGGACTAACAGTTTGAAGTCATTGAACTACTTCCAAGAGTTGTATCGACATCAACAGGATTACGATTTCAGTGCAATATGATGCAGGATGACCTTATCACGATAACCCATGATTATAAACCATTATAAACACAGAATCAACAAAAACATCTGCGACACGCACCTGGCGCATGGCTACATTTCTTCTATATAAATCTGATCGAGGGTGGGGAAATCTGAAATATCTGAAAGGCAAGACAAATTTATGGCAGAGTCATGAAATTCTGCAACAGCAACATGCACAGAATGACCTCCGTATAAAAAAAGTATCGCCACCTGACTACTCACATGTTTCCCCGCAGAAGAACATGCATTATGCTAGTGCCATTTTCTGCAAAAAAAGGCTTGCACATCAATGCGTATAATCAAGAGTACATAACCCCCATTATGTACTCTTGGTATACCTCTTGATATGATGTGAAAGCCATCATTTACATATTCATATGGCATTCCATCAAGAGTGGACTCTTGATTCCATTGATTGGCATTGATTGGTGACAGAAAAAACAAAAGAAATTATAGCAATAAAAACTGCTTTATGGCAGTTTTCTAAAAAAAGTTATTGTGTTCTAGTCCATGGACCCCGTCTAAAAAGTAAGAAATTAACGAAATGTGATAGCTGAAAATTAAAATTTCACACAAAACCTCACAATAATCACACACAGAATTAAAAGCTACATGTAGAAGACCTTTTCCCCTCGTGATCTTCTTTCCTATGCATGCATGTTGCCAATTGTTGGTGCAGTACAAGTTAAAGTTGAAAGCAGCATTTCAAGTGTTGTGATTATTGTGAGGTTTTGTGTGAAATTTTAATTTTCAGCTATCACATTTCGTTAATTTCTTACTTTTTAGACGGGGTCCATGGACTAGAACACAATAACTTTTTTTAGAAAACTGCCATAAAGCAGTTTTTATTGCTATAATCACAAATGGCACAGGCCAGCCCATTTTTGCGGAAAAGAAAAACAAATCTTGCTTGCCCTGTTGTGCTCTTCCAGACAACGGATCGTGCTTCAGCAGTGTTTCTTTTCCTTTCGTAGCTTTGCTGCCAGCCCGAGTGTCACCTCGACACTGTATTTCTTCAGTATGTCTGACCTTACTGTCGACACTGTCAAGGCAATGCCTTGCCAAGCCCTCCGCGGCGAGCCTTCTCAGCGCGGCTTGAATCCGAAAGGAAACTTAGTAAAAGTATTTTACAGGACCGTTTGCTGGCACAACTAGCCCTTGGTAGTGAGGTCTGCTCCGGCCAGGAGAACCAGCAACATGACAGTGCGGACACGGCTCGCGAGCCCAGAAGCCCGACGTGCACCAATGCCTCCTCCGCCAGCTCAGGTGACGCGGGCTCATCAACGGATCTCTGCGCTCCTGTACGGGACGAGGTGTAGTCGGCTTTGTCGGCCGCCATTTTATCATTATCGGAGAGCATTGTGCCGCTCCTCACCCAAGGCCAAGGCAATGCGGCAGCTGCCGCCACTACGCCAGGCCAAGCTCCTGTAACCCACCCGATCAGCCACCTGCACCCGCTGTGCCCAAGGCTGTGCAAGAACGTATCTTGCGAGGGGAGTTCGTAGATTTTTCAAGTTTGTTGCCTGAAATTCTTGCACACTTCCGGCCCAACATTCCGGCTGGTGCACAGCCCGAATAACGATAGCCAGCTAAATATCGTTGAGTCGGATGACGCGAAGCAGGTGCGTCGCAAGGTTCACGATAATTACACATGTAGCTACCCGGCTCGAGGCATGGACCACATACATGTCTGTTATCACGGCTGCTGCCCTACACCGCACTGCTGAACTGATTGCGTACCAGCAGTTGATCCTGACTGCTAACTGCCAGTTCTTCCCAAGCGCGTGGCTAGAGTACGACCGCCAGCTGCGGATGCTCGTGGCCCAGTAACCAGGCACGAAGAGGTTGGACACCATCGACGTGAACCTATGGCAGATAGCCGTCACAGGCCATGCACACCCAAAATGCGCTCAATGTAAGACGGTCCATCCAGGGGCGGTTTGTGTCCTTTTCGTCCCGAAGCCAGCAGCATTTACCTCCAGTGGTCGCAACCATACCAGCGACGGCCAAGAAATCTGCCGCAACTTCAATGGAGGTCGCTGTTCTTCGTCGTCGTGCCGCTTCTCCCACACCTGCAGCCAGTGTGGCAAGGACCACCCATGCATCATGTGCAACCAGCAGCAGCGCGGAGCCAATCGGCCACCCCGCCGCTCCTAGCAGAATGGCTACTGAATCGCTTGACTCGGTACGTAGCTTCTTTCCTATACACTCTGCAGACACCACACTGCTAGCTGACCACTTTGCCCGCCTGTTACGTAACCACTCAGATCAATCATGTGTTGCGTATGTTCTCCATGGCCTGCGCCGTGGCTTTACTCTTGGATCTGCCTGCCAACACGACATTTCGGTTTTCTCTAATAATCTACCATTGGCTTTCACTCACTCGGCATTTATATCCGAGCAATTAGCTGCTTCCTGCGCCCGCAGCGAGACCACAGGCCCATTTCCGTCACCTCCATTTCAGTTCATGCGCCGCTCTGGTATTGGTGCCATCCCCAAAAAGAACGGCAAGCCGTGAATGATCCACCATCTGTCTAGTCCGGAAGGCACCGGCGCGAACGACAGCATTCCTGCCGAGCCGCTCTCTCTGCACTACGCGAGCATTGACAACGCGATCAACATCATCATGTCATGCCCACAGCCTGTGCATTTGTCCAAGCTCGATGTACGCAGTGCATTTCGGCAGATCCCAGTCCGCCGTCAGGACTTCGCTGGGAAGGCTCCTACTACTACGAGCGGTTTCTGCCTTTCGGCCTCCGCTCCAGCCCAGCCGTCTTTGACTCAGTAGCCACAGCAGTCAACTGGATCATGCAGCACGAGTTTGCTATAGATCACCGGCTTCACTACCTCGATGACTTTCTCGATATCTCCACTGGTTTGGCTGCAGCCAACCAGCAACTCACCATCCCCCTCCGGGCGTTCACGTATCTCGGCACTCCTCTTTGCTCCATCCCAGCTCAAAGGGCCATCACCATCATTGACCTTCCTTGGTATTGTCCTAGACTGCGAGCGCCACGAAGCTCGGCTACCAGAGGACAAGCTGTCCGAGATCCGTGCGCCACTCATGGCTACTATCAGCGAGCGCAGCATCGGCCAGCGTCAACTCGAGTCCCTCCTGGGGAAGCTCACTTTTGCTGCCCGAGTCATCGTTCCTGGACACACATTCATGCGTGAACTATGATCAGCGTGCCCTGAACTGTATCTGTGTATGCGAGTGCGGTGCATAAAGCCCACCTGAAGAATGGGTTTGCCGGCCCCTTAGTAGATGCGTGGCTTCTGAAGAGGGTGTTGAAGGGCATCCAGCGATGCCATGGTACGGCTGCACTCACCCCTCGCCTTCCTATAACTATGCCAATCCTACGACACCTGACGGATGCACGCCGGAAAAGTAGTGTCCTGAATGGCCATGACAAGCTGCTCTACCAAGCCGCCATGCTGCTTCTTTGGATTTCTTCGGTGCGCTGAATTCACTAATGGCATCACACGGGGCTGTACTAGCTCCCCTGGTGACGGACGCCTGCAACTCTTCCTGCTTTCATCCAAGACGGACCCATTCGGTAAAGGCGTTACTAGTGACATTGGCCCGTCTGTACCGCCGTACTGCCCGGTCCGTGCCATTGTTAGCTACCCATTTGTCACTCGTCGCGAGGGACCGGAGCAACTCTTGTTCGTACTCTCGAACAGACAGCAGCTGACCAGGCAGTCATTCACAGTAACAGTATGGTCTCTTGTCGCTGCGGCCGGTGTACCATCCCAGTCGAACTACTCCGGGCATTCGGTCCACATTGGTGTAGCCACCACCGCTGCTATGGCTAGTGCCCCCGACTCCTTCTTCCGAGTGGCAGGTCAGTGGAAAGAGCGATGCGTGTCTATGCTACATCCAGACTACAACAAGCGCATAGCGCCAGCTATCGTCCCGGCTTGCTGCCGTGCCATGGATGCCATGATCCCCAACTCGGGTGAGTAATGAGCTACTGAACTCTAGCTGCGCAATGCTTGCCTGTGCTGACATTAATTGACCCTTGCTGTGCGTCAATAGTGCTTAGCTAACGGAGTGCTGGTTTCATGGGTCCACTCTCACAACTGGTGTTATCTAGCTATTTGCTGCGGCTCTGCCTTGCGCTATATTACATCCATTTAGCATTGCAGCTCTACGTTGAGCTAACAGCAGCTCTACTTTGAGCTAACAGCAGCTCTACTCTGAGCTAACAGCAGCTCTACTTTGAGCTAACAGCAGCTCTACTTTGAGCTAACAGCAGCTCTACTTTGAGCTAACCGCAGCTCTACTTTGAGCTAACAGCAGCTCTACTTTGAGCTAACAGCAGCTCTACCTTGAGCTAACAGCAGCTCTACTTTGAGCTAACAGCAGCTCTACTTTGAGCTAACAGCAGCTCTACTTTGAGCTAATCGCAGCTCTCTACTTTGAGCTAACCGCAGCTCTACTTTGAGCTAACCGCAGCTCTACTTTGAGCTAACAGCAGCTCTACTTCGAGCTAACAGCAGCTCTGCTCTGAGCTAACACCAGCTCTACTTTGAGCTTCAAACCAGTTGTTTCGAAACCAGCACTCCTCAATCCAAAGATGCCTCTTTGTTGACTTGTTTGTGTGAGGGATGGGGCTAATGGTGTACTAGCTGTGCTAGTACTTGTTAGCAACAATCCGAACTAGCGCACACACTGCACTGCATTGCTTTGTACTGCATTCAAGACTGACGTCATGCGCTTTGTTTTGCTGCGTAATCACAAATGGCACCAGCCCATTTTTGCGGAAAAGAAAAACAAATCTTGCTTGCCCTGTTGTGCTCTTCCAGACAACGGATCGTGCTTCAGCAGTGTTTCTTTTCCCACCATCCCTCCCTATCCAACTTATTCACACCATCATAATATTATCGTACCCACTAACCGGGTCCACTCTCACAACTGGTGGTATCTAGCTATTTGCTGCGGCTCTGCCTTGCGCTATATTACATCCATTTAGCATTGCAGCTCTACGTTGAGCTAACAGCAGCTCTACTTTGAGCTAACAGCAGCTCTACTCTGAGCTAACAGCAGCTCTACTTTGAGCTAACAGCAGCTCTACTTTGAGCTAACAGCAGCTCTACTTTGAGCTAACCGCAGCTCTACTTTGAGCTAACAGCAGCTCTACTTTGAGCTAACAGCAGCTCTACCTTGAGCTAACAGCAGCTCTACTTTGAGCTAACAGCAGCTCTACTTTGAGCTAACAGCAGCTCTACTTTGAGCTAATCGCAGCTCTCTACTTTGAGCTAACCGCAGCTCTACTTTGAGCTAACCGCAGCTCTACTTTGAGCTAACAGCAGCTCTACTTCGAGCTAACAGCAGCTCTGCTCTGAGCTAACACCAGCTCTACTTTGAGCTTCAAACCAGTTGTTTCGAAACCAGCACTCCTCAATCCAAAGATGCCTCTTTGTTGACTTGTTTGTGTGAGGGATGGGGCTAATACCAATATAACAAAGCCAATGAAACCAATGGCAGTGCAAAAACGTAAGCTGAACATCTGTGTATAAGCAGTCGGGTTAGCTAACGCAGTACATAGCTACATACATGTATCTATTCCCAACTTACGGGTCATTCTTTCCCATGGTGGGAAGATAATCAGCCAGCGTTCCTTGGAAGGCTTCCATCACCAACATAAGCTGTAAAGCAAAGCAAAATGATGAAGTTTTTTTCAATCGAGAGCCCTGGTTTGAGAAAAAAATGGTTTCATATACTATCATCCTACTTACAATTATCATTGAATTCGTCATTCGAGAACGACAACAGGTGAGAATGGAACATCCCCTTAAGCCAGTGTTACGCAGTTACATCACTTTTAAAGTACTTTGCGTGCTTCGTCTGCGTAGACGGCAAGACCACGCAGATGAAGCGCGCCAAAATGCAGTAAATCTTAAACAAAACAAAACCGTGGTACAGCAGATAAGACTGCTAAAGGGACGCGCAGCAAATCTTCTCCAAACTTGCCGTTTACATTGCAAAGGTTCAAATTGAATTGAAAGAACACGACACCCTGTGGTACTGTTTGCGCTAACATTCTGGGATTCTTTGTCCCTGAGCAAAGTGATCCACTTAACAGCCTGTATTACTGTAAACCATGAAATTATTGTGATGGTCTAATTTCTGCGAAATTCGCGACCGCGTGGAAATCGCGAAATTTAGACAGCGCGAAAAGGAGATCCATGGAAGGTGTAGCATGAATGCCACAGTTGCAAATTCTGCAATCGCAAAATTAAAACCTCGCAAACCTGTCCGGATTCTGAAAACGCGAACTAAAAGCGCCGAGAAAATTTCACGCTTTACAGTATAGCTATTTTAAGACGGTCAAACAGATCACCAATATGACATACCTGACGCTTCTCATCCACAACACCATACAGCTCTACAACGTTGCGATGGAAGAAACGACCCAGGGTGCGAGCTTCTTGACGCAGGTCAGCCCGCGCCTTCTTGGCAGTGGTTGTAATCAACTTCTTGGCAACAACCTTCACCATGGCTCCTCCATCCTTCTGCTTTAGGTGTAAAAGCAAGGCACATACCATAAAAAGATCTTAGCCACAAGTAATAAGGTATGTCCGTATTTGACCCGGAATGTTCTAAGTCAATGAATCCTCTACTACCTTTGAACTATCATAGGCATACTTGAAGTACTTCAAGAAGTAAGAAGGGATGCCCGGTTCCCATCCTAAAGGAACTGGAACTGTACCTCATATTCATTATGGGGTCAGTGAAGCGGGAATGAGGTACTGAAGTACACTGACACTAGAATGGTGATGCACACTAAATTTTTTATTTAATGACAAAAACAGAAATTCAACAGTACATGTTCTCCATAACGACACAGAGTAATGCGACGGTTCACAAAAACCACGCCAGTCCACCCGAATGTGTTACACTTCACACTAAGGCTAGAGCCATTTCCTCATGCTCTCACAAATGAGATGATGGGTAGACAATGATGTTAGAAAATTCCCCGGTAGTTATCTATACCTTTGAGTACTTCACTTGAATTCACTAGCAAAACGGCTTTCTTTAGACACGCGCTGATTTGTTGCACGCGCACATGCAGACACGTACATGCATAATTATACGCAAATACACAGTATCAAGCATACAAACTGCAAGCATACACAGATACACCCACCCACATCAGACTCAGACTCAGACATGCCCATCGCGGAAGCGATGATAGCGAACAGCTATGTTAGACATAGCAACTTGTGCTGGGATTACACAATTGCTGGGATTACACCATTCAACAGCTTGCAAGGCTGATGAATTGACCGCCACTAATTTTTAGCCTGGTATCCACCACACAGCTGATTGAAGTGACTTTTTGTGGTCAGTGGATCCTTATTTTTCCCGCCCACCTACACCCACACCCACACACAAACACACGAAAGGTGCGTATAATACTGACCTGTTTCCAGTTTCCTGTGTGTAGAGAAGTGACGGCACTGCAGATCACACACATGTTTGTGCAAGGGTACAAAATTCATTTCACCATCTCAGATTATACTCAATGTTTTTATAACCACTGTCCACTGATGCATAACGTATTAACCCAATGAGGCATGTATAAGGATCATTATGAGGATATGCACGAAGTGGTTACCTCCATCTGTAGTTCTATCGACATTAATTATATTAGAGTGTGTTGTTCCCTACATGGTAGCTCGCGGTTTTCCTGCCGACTTGAATTCTCACTTGACCGACTCACGACTGCCATCCAGCTCTAGAAAACCGCGAACTCCCATGTAGGGAGCAACACACTCTTTCCCTACTATCGCCGAAGTCGCACCCACCTCTTCTTCACATTAATAATATTAAGGTTTGCAAATAGATGCACACTTTTCATACTTTGGACCACTGTATGAGGTGCAGCAGCAATGATCTCGACTCAAATCAGGTATGTATGCTGTACTGGCCTCGACCCTACATAGCCCGAGAGATAGAGTTACACGGAATTCGTATAAACTGCCTACCCGGATTTGATCGTCGCTAGAAGCTGGATGTCAGCAGATGAAATCTGAGTCTGCACCTGTGGGCCAGCGTCAACTGTGAGGTCTTCACTGCTTTTGGCGGGGTCGGATTTGGCCTTGCATGGTACACCGTACAGATCTTGCTCCGGCTCCTTCTTCTTGGCCGCAGTCGGCTTCTGTGGCTTCTTGGGCTTGGATGGCTTACTGCTAGAAAAGTTCAGTTGTGCTTCCAGGTCATCAATGTCTTCTTCCAGCTGTAGGTCTTCACGGCTCATGCCCAGTGGCTTGGGTGCGGGTTGTGGTCGTACCTCCCTGGTGATCTCGTCCTTCTTGAGACAGGCATACGTGTCTCCACCATCAGCCACATTCACGTCTGGTTGGGTTTCAGCAGTTTTAGGTCCAGGTTTGGATTGAAGTGGGGGTCTTTTCATCATGTCATATGTGTTGTCTGTATCGGCTGGTGTCGGTTGAGGTGGAGCGGGCGCTGGGGTGTATCTGGGTGCCTCCGGCATGGCATACAGAGCTCCATCGCTCTCTTCCACAGCAGGTGGCGGAGCAGCTGCGAAAGTCTCCATGGGTTCTGGCTGAGCATAGGCTTCGGGTCCGTCGGAGGCGTACGCAGTGCTCATGCGCTCACGATTCACTTCGCCTGGAGCTGCATAGTTATCCGCTCCTTCACCTTGGCCAGCATCCTAACCACGCATCAAATAAATTGCACACACAGGACAGGTAGTTAAAAGCTATCTAAACAGGAAATTTTGCTTTTGTCCCACCTTCAATATCTATTCAAAATGCGCAGATATGGAGTCAAATGTGATTCACTGGACAGTATGCTAGAGTTATGGACATGATAAAATGATGGAAATGCTTGAAGGCACATGGAATTATTCTCAGGAGCAGAGTCATATACGTAGTTCAAAATTCAATGTTCAGATATGACAGGGGATCAATTTCTTAAAATTCATGTTGCCGAATATGATGTCGCCAACTTCAACCTCAATAAAAGAAGATGAAAATGAGACTGGCGTGTTTGTTATAAAAGGAAGAAAGGACAAGCGTATTTCACTTACGTTAGGATTTTCGTAGAGGATGTTCTCTGCTTGACCACGCTCACGCATTTCCACAGGATCAGGTATCACTGCGAAGCAAATTCAATAGGAAGGGAAGTGAATTTTTAAATCATTTACAACGTTTTGAGGATATTCACCTCTCATTTTCATACACTCATGCATCGTGTCGATAGCGCTAATTACATCGCCTCCGAGAAGTTGAAAAAACTTAGTGTGCATGACACAAGCCACTCATTTGGCATTCCTTATGTCTAATCCAACACCCGCAAAAGATTTCACGGTTCATTTGAGACTCAGGTAGACTTTAATGTTTGCATCCGTAGCTACTCTCCCTACCACCATCATGAAGGACCTGGCAGGGCACGACATCCCTTTGAAGAATGCCAGCGACCTAGAAGGAGCACGAGCATTTGCTGCAGACAAGTCGAAATGGAGATCAGACGTTGTTTATGGATGAGTTTTTGTTGACTGGAGACAGAAGGCGACTTGGCTTAATTTCAGTGTACATGTATTTTCATACATTGTTCTTTGGCCTTTGTACGCGTGCTGTGGTGTTATTTTTATTATTATTATTATTATTATTTGAAACTCGGGTATTGAGCCAATAATAAAAGTAGAAAGGAAAAGGACATAATTATGGAAACGAGTTAAGAGTAACTCTCCACCACTGTAACTAGATACTATATACAGTCAGAAAGTGCAACAACTAGGCACAAAACTGACAGAGTACTGAGACATTCGACGTCCTGACACTATTATTATTATTATTATTATTATTTTTATTATCCGTAGGAACGCCAATACTCTACAAAAATCTAAGGCAATAGCGGCAAGGCGACCAAATATGTTGAGATCACGCAAACTCTGCACAAACGTGCCTTGAGACTTTAAAACAAGAATGCAGAACATTCCTCCAAGAATTAAGACCCCACTCAACCAAACCCTGTCCCATGCTGGAAACAATAGGCCTTAACCCTTAATGATACATGCATTCCTGAAGAGGTGCCTTGCCAAATGCTCAGACAATTGCATTAATTTTCTGTGATTGTTGTAGCTCAGAGACCACTTGTAAAGTGTAGAGAGGATTAATAGCTAAAATGCGACAGTTAAACATTCA